TGCTAACCGTCACACCAGTCTCGCAAATGATCCGCAGAATATCTTGCTAGAAATTTAAAATAGCAACCATATTGATATTGACTGCAGTGTTCACAAGCATTCTGTTGCGGTGATTCTACTTGTGCTCGACAAAGCAGAAGAAATAAAACCCAGGAGGACCTTCGCCTTGGCATGGGTTGCATCGACCGCATCTTAAGCGCCGTCAAATCGGTGACCCACTATCGGCGACCCACTATGATAAACTCCTTTGGCTCTAGGCAGTCTCTGATTCGGTTGACCATGACTGCTTTGGGTACTGCCTAGTTATGAATGGCGTGTCGAGAAAGTTTCTTTCCGCACCAAAAGCACCATGTGGAATGTCGTTGCTAAGTCCTCTAAGATAGGTGGAGTTGCACAACCCATCCCCTTATCATTAACTTCGCGATTGAATAGATGGTGGATTCTATTTTGTGAGTTTCTTTTGAAGCCAACATTCTACCACGTGAATGAAGATGTGGCTCTAGCTTGGTCGGACCCACTAACTGCACGAGCGTTTCTATTCAGAACGACGCGGGACGCTGTATAGCTCCTGTAAAGTAGAAAATGCTGCTGAAAGGGTCGACATACCACCGGTTCTCGCAAATATCGAACAGGCAGTCGAAATGACCATCGATTAACTTATTTGGGTATTTTATCATCCCTGGTAACCAAACCGCTTAGGATATGGAAGGCGCTGGTAAAGCTCGTGTATACGTGACATGATGCTGACTCATTGGTGAAGGTCGAGTTGTGCAAAACTGCAATGAGGACGTTGTTAGTGCATGACAAGAGCATACTGAAGGCCTTAGACAGATAGTGACCGCGCATCGGCACAGCACATATCTGGGGAAAACCCATCAAATGTCGTCCACTTAGCATCCGGTAACACTTTCTAGTGCAGCAGCAGAGCAAATGTTTGAACCTGCATCGTCCAGGCTACCTCGGGGTCCCATCTTTTGTATGCATGCTGATTGCTTACAGCAGTGATGTTGCTTTCGGACGAGTTGGTAAAAGGGCAATGCACGATTGAGTGAAACCTTATTGGGCTTCCGCAAGTCGCCTACTTGATGGGTGCCACAGAATCGACCGCACCCGTAGTTATGAAATATGACGCAGTTTTGGGGATGGCGGTGTTTCCCGTACATGATATCTTGCTTCTTCCCCCATATTATCCACGGGGACCTTACCGTACCGCTCGCTTCATAGTGTTGGAAACATGGTGCATCAGACTGAAGTAAACTGGACGACTCGTCTCAAGATTTGAACGCTGAAAACAGCCATGGAAAATGAGTGGGTAGCACGAGGAAGATCTTTGATGAAGGAGAAAAGTAATCGGGGTCAGAAAGACACAAGAGAAACGAGTGGGGAATGGGGCAACACAAGTATCCCATTTCCAGTTATCCGTGCTAGCAAGGTGGCCCTTTGGAAACTAATTAACAATCGGTGATGGAAGAATATGAAGTTTGAGGGAAAAGCTACGGGCGCATGTGGCTACGATGAATACAACGCGTTCAGACATGTGTTGAGGAAGATTAGAGTTAACAAATCTGTCAGACAGCGGAAACATGAAGACGGTTTACAAAAGGAGCAAATTTAGCTGAAATGGGTGCAACCCCAGCTATAAGTACAAAATTGCAGGCGCAGACGACTGAGCCAGTCCAATAGCTAACTACTGATTAACCCAATAGGAATAGCTCTCAAGGTGTACCAGGGCACAACCCAACATATCCCAAGGAATCGGAGGTGCACAAACCATCCGGTGTTGTCGCTACAACGACAAGAATGTATTGATCTTGAATACTTAACCAAGAATACAAATATGTGCGATATTGGAGGCAGCGCTATGTAACATAGGCTCCGCCCTAGCTACACGCAAAGTAGCTCTTCAGGACTGCTGAGAATTGGCGAGTGTATACATCAAAACTAAGGAAACGCGTCGTAGTCAGTAGCTGTGTGGGGGACGGAACATGAACCAGCGTAGTCCAGAAGAAGCTTTTACGCGCTCACGACTGGCGGGTTTTCATCAGTAACACATACCATCGACATGATAAGAAAGGTAATGTGATAGTGGCAAAAGAAAAAGTTCAATGAACAACCTAATCTCAAGGGTAAAATTTGCTGGCCAGTTCTTGGATAGTAGCATACTAGTGAAATGGAAATGTGGCTAGATAAGGAATGACCGACGAACCATTTGCCCTCGTGCGGGCATACATTTCCATGCACTTTCATCCGGTCTATGAATTAGATGTGCCGTTGGAAAGGGTACTGTGCAGAGCGGGTCAGTGAGTATTTTGGAAGCAAGTGTTATGCAGTAATTAACATGGGTAGTTACAATTGTTTGAGTCGAAGTTGACTTTGGAATGCCACTGCAGCAAGACAGTTGGCTCAGGGACCTATCAAGTAGCTTTAAAATGCCTACAAAGTAGGCCTGAAAAAAAGCACAGGAAAGCAGCAAGTTCAGTGTGGCAGAATACACGTAGTGATGATAGTGTGATAAGAAGGATGATAGCAGTCGAGAGACGCAAAAGCAAGTGACTTGAAGTTGGTGCATATTTCATTCATGATAAAGTGTGGCTCGGTGTGCCCCCAAAATACTGAGGATGAGAAGCTTAAGCTCGACCACTAGCTCGTCCAAACAATTTTGCAGCTTGGTTGGATGATTTACGCCGATGATTACGCAACCAGTATAACTCAGCAAAATGGCTTCTTATGGAACAGGTATGGAACTAACATGGGTAGAAAAGAAGAATAGTGATAAAATGGCTCTTTGAAGGACACCAGAAGTTGAGGTAAGTAGCGAGGAGTCTGCCACCAAACCCTGAGTACATTCATCGAAATAACTCTTTGGCAACGCTGAACAATAGAGGTGTGCAGATATTGTAACAGCAATTCACGATTAACAAAGCCGAATACATTACTGTTTTTGAGGAAACAGACACACGAGTGTTTGTTTTGTCTAGCGACGAAAACATTGAATGTACTAGGCAAGCCACTGCGTTTTATGTAGACCTTAAACTTCTATGAGCAAACAGATGTAGATCAACTAAACGGGATAGGGGCAGCCTTCATTCAGGAATAAGCTTCTCCAAAACCTTCAAAACCACCGAAATGCATGAAACTGGCGTAGCGAGAATCGAGCCAGTGTTGGCCAAACATGCAATGCCAAAATCACATGTGCGCATTTCTTGCAGGACGAGTAAGTGTAATGAAACAGGGTTTCCTCCAGAGCAGTCAACATTCGAAAAGTGTATTCCAATTGCATGGCTAGTGTGCGTGGCAAAATTAGGTGGATGGCTGCGAGACAATGCGGCAAAGCAGTCTAGTCTGATGTGATGTCGTTCCGAGACACAGTTCGAAACGGCATAGACGTCTTACACATTAAAAGCCGATACTCATCGAGGTAACCATTAGCTGCGAATTTAGAGCGCCGTGAGAGAGAACGGCATGATGCACGACCTGGGGCTTGATGACTCGTCAGAATCCTCATTGTAAAAATTAGCTAGAAGTGGAAAGCACCCATTGTGCCGCAATACACAAGAAAAAAAAACATGAAAGAGATGCACGCCAGTTGAGCTACCAGTAACAGATGGGTATCGCTTCGGAAAGATCCCAACCGGCTATTGCGCCGCGAAAAACGCATACTATGACAGAAAATGAAATCGTGGTTGGGAGGAGAGGCTAAACGGAGTGAGGAGGGACAAAGAAACTCGCAACACAAGCGCCACTGAGATCGGCTTCTACCCACATCAACAAGTGTATCCAACCAAACGTGTTCACCACCTGTTGGACCCAAAAAGGGAGTCGAGGCGTTCCAACGTTGACTTTCATTACTCTCGATCAATGCATCACTTGGCCACCTCTCCTCTTCTTCTATCCGCATCCCCGGCGCGCAAACCATGTACGTCGCGGGAGCCGTTGGACGCACACGCAACACGTGGCCCAGCCATTGGAGCCTATGGCGTGAAATAACGGTGCTGAGCGGTTAGCTTTTTTTTCCTGCGCCATAAACAAGATGTCAAACACTCATTGCTCAGACGGTGTTCCCACCAGATATGAACCGTTGATCGAACATAACTAGACTGTTTATGTCGGTTAGGTTTTACAACCGCATATAGTAGGGATGAACGTACGGTTGCACTGTAAAGCCAAGCGTTCAGGGAGCAAGTGAGGTTGCGTTGACACCTTAAGTGACGAAGGTTAGCTGAAGCGCCTGGAGCTTTTGCTATACGATTATTGACCTCACCTTGGATTCCACCGGCGCTGATGATGACTTGTACTGTCGATTCATGCTCTTTTCAAGCTGTGCGTCAGAAACTTCCGAAATAATCGCGGCCAAGAAATAATACAGAGTGACCAGATAGGAAACCACACTGAAACAAGGTTGCATCGTTAAGAGACGCCGGAAATCGCATGCGACAATATAAACAAGAGTGCCAAATCCATTGCTCTAGATTATCACTCGTGGTTCAACTATCCATATTACTATGACAATGTCGCGCGACTGTTGGGTGTGAGGTGGGCTACCAGATGTAAGATTCGAATTTCAAAACATTTGTAGGGAAGGAATAATGCTCCTTAGAAGTAGGAACAACTAGTATTAATACATTAGAAATTACAAAGCAGAAAAATCGGGGATGAAATTTATCCAAAGTGAGCAGAGAATGGATTACAATCTAGGAAATTCCAGCATTTAAATGTCAAGGTATAAAAAAACTTGGAGCCTGGCTTGTGACCATGACAAGTAGAGTTATTATACCCAAGGACAGTCACATGTGACAACCTAACGCACTGAAAAATATAAACAAAGAACGCCTGACTGTGATCGATACGGCTGTCGAAAATTCACGGAAGAAAACCAGTGCTGAAATCCGTGCATGATCGATGCGTACGTGACTGGCATTAGTCCGCCCAACCAAAGGTTGGGAAACAAGTGAAGTAAACTTTGTAAGTATCTAAATAACGCATAGTTCATAGAGACCTACCTTTAGGAGGAAAATAGGCCTTGCTTTCCGTCTTGTGTGGCCAATCCACAATAAGAGGACCGAATCGACGAAATGCTGTGGTGATTTCCTCTGGAAACGGAATGTAGGAGGGAGCATAAAGTTGAGGAAAGTGATCCAAGATCATAACGTATATTCTAGTTGGGCACAAGCTGACAGGTTCTAAATATATACAATGAGGCATACCTAATTTCGTGAAATTCAGCCAAATCACTCATGGATTTTCTTTGTACGGTTATCAATCAGAATTCAGTATGACTTTAGGATCGCTGTGAATAATAGTTCAAGTATGGAGCAGTGATTAACCAAATGTGAACCGTAAACGCGGGTCATTTCAACTAGAATTAGTGTAAACCACTACAACGAGAAGTGTATGCGCAAATTTCGGGATCCGTTTAGATTTGCGTGAATCTAGTAGATTCCGCATGAACTTTGTGCGATTACAACTGAGGAGAGCAGAAAACAAAGTCGATGCACAGTAATGACACAAAACTATGAGCATAAAACCGATGTCAGAAATTAAGTCCGGAACCAAACAGGATAGGCAGTGAATGCTGACTATCGTAACACAAAAGGAAAGAGCCTGAGACCGCGAGTAGTAGTGGGTTGCGGGACCACGGATGGCCGAAGGTACGAGGCACCTAGATTGCAACCCAAAAGTCACCGGTTCTAATATGTGCAGGTGCGGACGATCTCGCAGTATCCCTAGACGGAGCGCGCCAGCCCGTAGACTAAAGATAGCAAGGTTGTCTTGTAATCTAACGGTACGGGTTCGAACCTGCGTAGTATCCTTAGTCCACGCGCGACAGGTGGTGGTTGCGCGGCAGCGAAACATCGATACTGCGTACCGGTGTACTGCTGATGCCTTTCTTTCAGACTGTGTGCGATCGGTGATGGTCGCGCAATAGCGGGGGTGTACTGCGCACCGGAGTACTGCTAATAACATTTTGCTATTTACTGAGATTCAACAGAGCAGAGGAGTTGAAAAATAACGAATGAAGCGTTGTGCAATGGATAGTAAACAAACAAAATAAGCTGTGATTGACGGAGATTTTGCGGAAATAAAACTGAACTACAACGACAACCGGAAATTTCAGAAAAGTCGAAAAGCTAGTTAAAATGGTGCAGTTTTGTAAAAGCTCTTGATTTAACTACACACCCTAGATCATAGAAGCGTCCGAAGAGAGATGAAAGCTCTTAATTCCGCTAGGGCAATTGTTGGTGTGGTGGATTAATTCAGTGACGTAAGGAGCTACTACTTCGATCATTACTAAGACGAAATTGTCAAGTGACGGCGTCGCGTGTTACACAGGGAAATAAGGGACTGGGGTGCTGCAGCTGAACCAAGTGGGGAATCCGAAAATAGTGGGTTGAGATCAGCTGGTGTACTGTGATTTTAACAAAAGTGCAGCAGGCTTAAGTATCTCAGGTAACATTTTAGTGGCAAAAGAACTAGCGTCGATTGAGAAGACGATGCAAAAAGTGAAGCAGCAGGAATATAGGAGTTAAAAAGAACGTTTTTTCGGACACAAAATGTCAGTTCCTGTCGGATCCATACGGTGTGAGAATTAGCAGTATGAACAACTCAAGCAGGCTCGGTGATTGGGAAAACGGTGGTGGTGCACGGGGACTAAAGAAGTGCTGTCGGATATTCCCCGTCAGAGGTGCAAGTCTGTGCCTCGGTGAAGGGAGCAACTATCTAGGTTTGAAGAAGATTGATTCAAGCACCGAGGTCACCCATGAAACCCCACGTTGAACCAGTTAGGGCAGTACGCAGAGTTGCGCAACGATGCTGGCGTCCCCCACTTCACAAGCTTATATCCCCAAGCAACAATCCCCATCCATTCTGAAACCGCTACAAGACATCAGAGGTGCTAACCCAGACAATGTAACAAAACGGTCTCACACTAGACAAATTAACTCGAGAACCAAGACCAATGCTCACAAAAAGCGCTTTTCATACAATTACCATTTAGAGGCAATTCTGGTGTTGATATTTTATCTCGACACCTGAAAGATGCTGTTTAAAAAACTTATTTCGTGGCGCATCTGAGAATTGTTTAACAAAACGACTGCTTGCAAAGCCATTGAAAGATGGACTGCCCTCGTTGATCCGCGCATTGCTCGTTTATCAGCACTCATGCTCCTGTGGTGCACGAGACGTGAGTGGCACTAAAAGGTGCCTTTCTCAGGGGATAAGCCGGCACATCCCGGCGTTATTTTACAAAACCGGAATGAGGTCCACAAACAGCACTATTATGTCGCATCTTTTGAGAATGACCACGAAGTTCTCTCTTTATTGCCCAAATATTTCTGGCAAGTCAACTTTTGTCAGCGATTCTCGTTCATTACCGATGCTGTTTACATCCACCATCGGAAGCCGGGGTTGGGTGAGCAAAAACGACTCACAGGGCCAATAATGCTACCGTATCCAGACACCGGTACTTAGCTAGTTGGTTGTTACCTTAGTTACTTACTTCGGACTAGTGAGATTTATGTATAACTGCTCCTTTGGTTCGCTCGGTCCACCATCTATAGACCAGTCTTAAGCTATCGACTTGGCCGTTCAAATAACTTGGAAATTAAACTCCAGTCCGATTTGATGCATACCACACATAAACGTAGGGGTCAGAGAAAAAGTTGCCTGAAAAGAATTCATAACCCTGCGCTAATTTCTGGCCCTGAATCTTGGTAATGAAATGCTTTGCTGTAGAGCAGCATTGCCGATGATTTGCTAAATTGACACAACTGCGGTGCCGAAGGAGCTAGTGTACAGCACTGCCGGTTTCGTCCCAAATGATGACTAGCGTGCTTTGTAAGTCGAGGGCGCAGGTTTGAGCCTGCGCAGAGAACCGGGAGAGCTTCGCAGTATCCTCAGCCTACGCGCGACTGGTTGTGGGACAGCGAAGCGTCGGTACTGCGCATCGGCGTACTGCTGAAACCTAATGCCGGTTTGGGAATGCTCCTAATGCTAAATAGAGAGGTATCAATGCAAGACTAAGTTGAAGGGTAAGCTCCCGAAGTTAAGTCGGTCGATTAATGCGTCCGAGCACTTGGAACACTTCTGGTGATCATCAGGTTACCGTGCGCAACTGCAACCCCATTCAGCACGAATGAATGACAGGTCAGGTAAGAGTGATCGATTTGTGTAAGCCATACCGTCCCATTTAGACCAATTTCAGGCGACATTTGGTCACACAAGCAGCTTTATTATGTCGAACTTTCTCCTTCTGAGATTAACTAGGAAGTAAGCTAATAATTTCCTGAAGGCTTCTTGAAAGGCTCCCGCGGCCAACTCTTATCCATTGCTGTCCCAGTGGGACGATTTTAGGGCGCAGTTCGGTCACGCAAAAAGCATTCTCTAGCGTAACACCAACCCAATCGCTGAACGAACTTTTCCTGACTGCAAAGACTGTACGCGCTTCGCGTAAATCGATTTCAAGGCCGGTCCGTGGCCTTAAGGATCACAAGCCTGCCACGTAATCCGAGGGAGCGGATTCGAGTCTGCGTTTAGAACCGAGCTACCCACGCAGTATCCTTAGCCCACGAGCGCGACTGTTGATGTTGCACGACAGTGAAACGTCGGTATCGCGTATCGGCGTACTGCTGTTGCCTTAGTACGTAGTACTGTGATCCGAATATTTTTGGGTGACCGATTGGAGGCCAAAACTTGTCTCACTGAGACGGCCATGCAGACACAAATCGGCCACTAAGTGGCAGTCTAATGGTCATTCACATTGGTTGTGTTTACGTTTTTATTGAAAAGAAACGACGCATGGGTTATGGTCGGTGGCGTTAGCGATGCAGCATATTAGGTGAGATTATAGCTAGACATTAAAACCTACATAAGTGGATCATTCGAGGACCTGGACTAAAAATGTCCGGACCCATAAGGTTTACAGGTGAACGTTCAAGCAATTAAAGTAGCAAGGATTTGGAAATGGTCAACTTGGGTTTTGTTTATCATAATGATGCCGCTTTTCTCATTAATTCGTATTTCTGAGTGGTTATAAACATGCCGCGCTTTCACTTGTGCTTGCAGAAGACAGAAAATGTGTCAGTAGTACGCCGGTACGCAGTACCGACGCTTCACTACCGCGTAACCACCAATAGTCGCGCATGGGCTAAAGATGCTGCGACGTTCGCCCGGTCGCTACGCGAGATAGAACCCGAGCCCTCGGATTGCAAGGCGGGCTTGTAAACCTTAAGGCTACGGGTCCACAAAGTAGCATAATTATCGACTAAAAAGCCGAGATCTTTGCTTCCCAATAACAAGTACAACACTTCAGTGAGGCCATGGACACGCCGTGAACTAAAGGCATGGCTGCTGTGAGTGATATGTTTACCTGTCGCTTTGGGGACACAGAACACATGCAGATTAAAAGCGTCGAGCGGGGGTAAACGTTGTGCGCTGGCTATTTGACGTAGAGTGTGAACGCTGGGAGAAGCATTATAAAAATAGATTCCCGTAATCGGGTTCTTGGGAAAACCATGGTCCTGACTAACAATTTGGACGTAGTGATTTCCACAAAAGGTTAATCCGAGTCCCAAGTTAACATTCTGAAACTGAAGATACTGGCGAGCTGATAGAACCCAGCATTGAACATGGAGATGCAGGTTAAACTGATCACATTCAGACTATGCAAATGTAAAACCGAGTACTTTTTGGGAGAAATAATGTGCGGCGCACTACTAATGAGTAGTATGTGTGGAAGCGAGGAGGCGCAAATTAGGGAAATCGTGGATCGTCGAGTACGTAGGACGTGTGGTACACAAATCAGCAGGAGAATAGATGCGTAGTGGAGAAATCTGTCTCCACCGATACGTTTTGAGTGATGAGGAGCAGCAGAACGGCGAGTTGGAAAGGTGCCAAGAAGGAAGTGCGCAAACAGGCTTGAGTTCCCATGTTCGAACTGTTAGGATATGTAGACGCTGTTGCTCAAACACAAGTCCGCACCGCAACAATAGTACATCGGCGACCAGCTGTTGGCCGTTACGTAACACAGGAGCTATGCGGCTTGAGACGGACGGCGTAAAATAGGTTTCCACTGTTAGGGATATGTAGTAGTATT